CTTCTGCGTACCATATGAGTGGTCGCAACACATGTGAGCATCTGACCATCAGAATGTTTGGGGAAAAGTCGTGGAAAGCGGTGGTGGACTAACAGACCCGTGGTCGATAGTAGCGTAGCGGAGGCGTAGGCCGGCGGAACTGTAAGGTAAACCTATAGCCAAGCCTGCCCGCCACCTGATACCATACCTTTCACCTTCAATATGACCGCCAGGGAGCGTGACGTGCACTCGGCGCACCGTATCCGCGTCAACATGATGCACAGCAACATGGAGGAGTTTGCGGTGAGAATTACTTGGGATTCTCTCTATCGCTCTCTTCTGTCTCTTTCTCGCTCTCTCTCTTACTCTCTCTCTCTCTCTCTCTCCCTATATCTCTCTCTCTCTCTCTCTCTCTCTCTCACGCTACACCAAGTTTTCAGGAGGCGTTCAACTGCAAGCCCGGCGACCGCATGGTGCAACGGCCGACCTGCCCTTACTTCTAGCCGGACTCGAAGAGAATCGAACAAAATGACAATTCCAACAATGAAAAACATATCTCTGCCACTTTTTGTTGACCAATTCCAGTCCCTGCAATAAACATTTTATCATTCTTACCGTTGTTGTTGAATTAGTGATCTACATCCGAGGCAAAATTCAAGTTTTTCGAAGCCATACCTCTTCACCATGCATGCCGTCTGGCTGCTGCTGTGTTTCCTTTCGACTTGGTACGAAGCTCCATTAATGCGTAGCAGTTGCGTTTTAGCCGAGCTGGAGCTCAGGAGCACGAGCTCTGGGATGTCTATGAGGACGAGTATAACATTCCCGGCAGTGATGCTCATGGGTAAGTCTGAGAGCATCGAAACATGCTTCATGCTTCAGCGGCCGCCATCGTCGCTACAGTCCGTATAATACGTGGGCGCCGCAGCACCGGCCGCGCAAGGCCGACATTCTGAGGAAGGACTTCTTCAAGCAGTTCATCACCCACTTTCGCGACCCGGCCATCAACGCGTGCGATAACTTCTACCGGCACGTGGGTATTGCTGAGTTTCCAGAAAAAAATTCGAAACATCGTTTTTCTTAGTTAAATGCAAGATGATAACTTCTGATTTGCCGAAGTATCGATGGACATACGCGATACCTATCAAGGACAGGTGCAAGGTATCAGAATTTTGTAATGCGCTTCTAACACTACTTTTTCATAGAAAATCGTCACGATGAGTCTTGGGGAATTGTGGGCGGCGCGTTCGAGGATGAAATAGAATTCGACTTTGTGCCGGATCCCGACCAACTAATGGGGCGCCAGCTGCAAGAAGTGGGTCTGGAAAATTTATGGCACGAATTTTTAAATTTTCATTTTTAATGAAATTGGTTCTAAAAAGGATTAAAACAAATAAACCCGATTTTAGGAAATGCGAGAGATGGTCGAGGAGATGCACGAAGACGTGCCAACGCTGCGCGAGGAGGGCAGATTGCTCGGAACGGTGTTTCGAATTTCTATAATTGTTCCATTTTCACCGCTTTTAGTTAATGAAAGACACTTTGTACATCGCCGATCGTGTCGAGGTCATGACCGACGTCTTGGTATTTTTTTGTTGACTAAAAATGGCTTAAGTGCAGTTACCCCCCCAGCCCAGCTCCTCAGCCATACGTCCTATTAATGCGCCGAGTATCTCAAAATGTTCGCCGTGGTCGAAAACCCCTGGAAAAGTTGTTTACTTGCGCCAAAAATTGTAAGAAAATTTTTTACAAAATTTTGAAAGTTGAAAAGATTAAGCCGCTATGCATCAATGTACCAGGAGTCAAAAACTCAAATATTTCTGTTTTCCTCTATTTTTTCGACCCAAGTGTACTGTAGGCTTATTCTCCAGAGCAAGAGCTACATTTTGGTACCATTGACAGCTCTGTACGACTAAAGATAGCCGAGATACGAAAACTCACTTTGGAACACCAAAAATTAACTAAAGAAAACCCAGACTTATAATTCTTATAAAAAATTTTTTAACAAATTTTGGCGCAAGTAAACAACTTTTCCAGGGGTTTTCGACCACGGCGAATATTTTGAGATACTCGGCGCATTAATAGGACGTATGGCTGAGGAGCTGGGCTGGGGGGTAAACTGCACTCTAACCCTAAAAATTCATTGAAAACCTCGCCAAACTTCCCTTTTCCTGAATTTTTCAAATTTTTCACAAAGCTAGCTTTTCGCATGCATTTCCACAGGCCGGCGGCAACGCGAAAAGCGAAAGACTGCCAAAAATCGCCAAGAAATTGCAAGCCCAGATGCTGAAATTATTGGAGGTGGGTGCAGATTTATGCAAATGTCGAAAAAGGGGGATGGCCAAATACCGACAATTCGGACTTCAAAATGCCGACACCCAAGAGGTCGTCGATTCGATGCCGAAATTTTAGCTGTCGGCTTTTGGCTGTCGGAATTTTGGCGTTCGGCGCCTTGAATTTGCATAAGTTGTCGTCCGGAATATTCTCTTTCGGTATGGCTGCCGGAATTTTTAGCTCTCGGCATTTAGTGCCTTTTTCTTAGAGTCTAATTTCGCAAATATAAATAGTGAAGTATTTCTAAATTGTTTTTTACTATTTCTAGAGTGAAAACTTTACAAATCTTTATTAAAAATATCGAAAATATCGATTTTTCGACAAGAGGCCGATTTTTGGTCAAAATTTCAACTTTTTCGAACATTCTTATAACTTTTTAGATAATTTTTCTAGTTGAATTATAGTTACATTTTACTAAAAACCCTGTTAAAACGCTTTATATTAAGTTAATGGGCACTCTCGAATTAAACAAGAAAATCCCCCCCCCCCCGATAATGCGAAAGAACCGCATTTTGTTTGTCCACATAGGCCATTCAAATTCATCAAATCATCAAACCCAAAAATATCCCAGACATTTTCCCGCGAGCCCAACTACGAGGAGCTGCGCGACAAGCACGAGCAGGCCATCAACGAGGTAAGAGAGAGAGATGTTCAACCTATAAAAACGACGTAGACAACCGTCTTCTTCGAGCTGGTCGACGAGTCGCTCGAGCAGCTTCAGGGGCTGCACAAGCTCGGCAGGCGTGCCGAGAGGATGTTTGAGCATCTGGGGGTGAGCCAGTTTTGCGTCAAGTATTTTACCAATAGTCTTAACAAGATAAAATTTCACTATTCGTCAAGTCGGAAAGCGCCTAAAACCTTGAAATTTTTTTATGCGAAATTTTTGAAGAAAAATCGATATTTTAACAAAATTTTTTTCGGTTTTTAAAGTTTTCGGTATTTTGGCTTATTTTGTCGGGATTTTTGCAACACCATTCAATAGAGCGTCGAAAAATATACTCAGAGTTTTAATTTGAGCTTACAATAATGTAAAATAAAAAGGTTATAGCCAAAAATTTCCGGCTGGGGGGGGGAGGGTAAAGTAAACCGTAGCCGAAAGAACCTTTATTCTACCTTTCCCCCAGTTCACACCCGAAGAGTTCCCGGAGCGTTACTTCGAAGGTGTCTATATCTGGCGGACAATTTTGCTGCCCCGGATCGAGGAGCACAGCTCTATTCAGCATCTGTTGGGCGCCGCCTTCGATAAAATTGGTAATCATTCGGCATACGAAGCCATCGCGTTTTCCAGGAAGCAACGCCATCGGTCGGTACGTATCGCTGGCGGTAGCAGCGCTGATGCCGCTTCTCGTGGACCCGAAATCCGATCCCGCCATTGCGGTGCGTGCTTTTCGGTGTTTATTATCACCAACTGCAAGGCATAATGTCGAAATTCACAGCATCGAAATTCAGAAAAATCTGCACTCTAACCCCGGCTTTAACTTTGTAAACTTTTGTCGAAATTCGGAAAACGCTATCGGAAATTGCAGGGTCGATTTCCCTCCGTGACGGAGAATCAGAGAATTTCATAAATGAGAGACCCTCGAATTGAGACTGAAAGGTTGGGAAACCCGCCCCCGCCCCCAATATTGCAAAAGTACCGTCTATCCCAGCAAAATGGAGAATATTTACTTCTTTACTTCTATACTTCTACTATCCCCCCCCCCTTTCAGTACGGCTTCTCCGGCGCCGTGATGGCCCACGAGTTCATGCACTCGATGCCCTATTCTCTTCGGATTCCGGGCCCTGGCAGAGTAGGGTTTTCATGGAACCGGAAAAAACGGATTCATGAAGTGCCCGTCCCTTTAAATTTTTCGGACATACCCGAAAACTCAAACGCTACGTGGTTTTAGCGATTCGTCCTGGCTCGCCCTTCCGAAATCTGCATTCGCGAGCGCGCCCGTCGGGCCTGCCAGATTTGGCAGGAGAAGGTTGGTTGTATTACGTAAATTTGGGAACTTTTCAATATCCGGGAGCGACTGTCTAGGGAATTTGTAAAATCCCGAACATCAGAATCTCGAAAATCAGGATCTCTACCGAATCTCGAATTTTCAGAATCTCGAATTTTTTTAATCTAGATGTTTCCATGGTCTAAAGGCTCCGGAAATTGCACGCCTAAGCCCTGATCCAGCATAGGTATATTTCGAGATTCTGAAAATTCCAGATTCTGAAAATTCCAAATTTTTATTCCTTCTGCTACATAGTTTTCCAGGACTGCTTCAGCGGCCATCACACGTTCACCGAGGATCGCTCCGACGTGACGGGCCTCCGAATTGCTTGGGAGGTAACAACTCAACTTTCGTTTCTCGATTCGATTTTATTTAGGCCTTTCGCGCCGAGATTCGCGAGCAGTGGCCGAGCGAAGAGGCATTGAAGGTCATCCGCGCAGCATGCCTTAGCCTAAGCCTAAGCCTAAGCCTAAGCCTAAGCCTAAGCCTAAGCCTGAGCCTGAGCCTTGCAGGCCGCCTTAATCACCCGATTTTTACGTTCCAGCATATCGTCTACCCGGAACTGGGCGTTGACACGGGCGCAGCTCTTCTTCTACACACGCGCCATCCGCTACTGCGACACCAATGACCGTTCGCAGCACTTGTCAGTCGCTCCGTGGCTATCGACATTGCTTGTTTCAGTATGGGCGCAAGGGGCCTTGCCGTCCACTCGGCCACCCGCATCCGCGTCAACATGGTTCACTGCAATATGGAGGAGTTTGCGGTGAGAAGAGCTCGGCTTAGCAGGCTTAAGCGTTGGCCTGGGCTTAGGCCTGGGCTTAGGCCTAGGCATAGGGCTAGTCTTAGGCTTAAGTTAGGCTTGGTATGCTCCATTTTAGCAAGCCTTCAACTGCAAGCCCGGCGATCGCATGGTGCAACGGCCGACCTGTCCCTACTTCTGAAGAACCTCGACGCGGCTCGACAAACTTGCCGACAAAAATCTACATACTACAATCACTCAAACCATTTCCGACGCATTTGATGTATAAATCGTTCAATTTGCGATTGTGGATTTTATTGAGTTCGAAAATAAGACGGAATTCCGTAATACGTCCTCACACTCGCACGTAATACTACCGCGCAGAGAGGTGCCATGTACCGTAACCTGCGTTGCAGTTGCCGGAAATTAAAATGATTTTGCATCCAGTTGCAGCCAAAAATCGCCGAATTTCGGGAGAATCAGGTCACTCAATCATGCGCGCCATCTGGCAGCTGCTTTGTCTCCTTTTCATTTGGTACGAAAATACTATCATGGTGTAGTTGACCACTACGTTTTAGCCAAATTATAGCCCAAGAAGAAGGCGTGAATGACTACGAGGACTACGCCAACGACAGTGATGTCCAGGGGTGGGCCTGAGAACCCTAACTCTATCACTCTCTCTATCACTCTCTCTCTCTCTCTCTCTCTCTTTCTCTATCTCTCTCTCTCTCTATCTCTCTTTCTATCTCTCTCACCCTCTCACTCTCTCTCTGACTCTAATTAGGTCGAGTTTGTCTTTGCA